TCTCTCAAACACACACACACACACACACACACACACACACACACACACACACACACACACACACACACACACACACACACACACACACACACACACACACACACACACACGTTAGACCTACAAACTGCAGTCATGTAATTCAACCATCTATCACATTTAAAAATACTGTAATGATGCTAACCTCCTATTATGGCTGGGGAGGCTCTGTCTATGTGTGTGTGTTTACCTGCAGTGGTAGAAAAGCTCCTCCAGAGTCCACAAGGTAAACACAGGGCAGGCGGTTCTGAATTGCAACTTCCTGTGCTCGTAGCTGTTTCTTTACAGTGATTGGATACGCTGTGCCGCCCTTCACTGTGGCATCCATGGCAATGAACACACACCACAGGCCATTGATCCTGCCAATGCCTGGAGGGTTACACATACAAACAAACTGAAGAACTCAGTGACATGTGCATCAAAATAAATTGCTCACAGTTTGAAATAAAAGAAGGTAGAAGAGGAAAATGATTTAATCAGAGCCATTTAGCAAGAGAATAGAAAGATACATTATTTACAGTAAGTTGTTTTCTCACCAGTCAGGCATCCAGCTGCAGGGATGTCCCCGTATGGCAGACCCAGACCAGCCAATAGTGACAGCTCCAGGAAATCCTCATCATCCAGAAGGAGGCGCAGTCGATCCCTGACCAGCAACTTCCTGTTTCTCTGAGTGTGTCTGGCGATGGCTTTTTCCCCTCCACCCTTCATTGCCTTGTCAGTTAACTCAATGTACCTTACAGAGAGAGAAAGCTCATGCATTTTTAGACATTTTAGTTAATAATGCAGTGGGGGAAATCGACCAAATGGATCAGGGCTAATGAGAGTAGAACTGACTTTTTGTGGCAGGCGTTGCTGTTTTGTAGGTTTGCATCATACACATGTTGTTGGATGGGCTGGAGGGGCTGTTCCAGCACAGGGAAGGCACTGTGCAGAGACCTTTTCCTCTTGGCTGCAGAGCTCATACAGCGGACTGAACACTGCCAACGCTGCTCAGCCAGCCTGAAACACAAGATTCATAAACTAACTTTGTTATCACTGAAAGGAAGGGTCCACCTTTAGTCAGAAATACAGTAGGGTAAAGTGTACTACCTTTATGGCCTGTTTACAACATGACAATAGGGTAGAAAGGTGTGCAAACACAGAAGAATATTGAAAAAGTCTTGTGTTAACCGTACTGCAAGTTACAGTGACAATTCTAACCAGCATATTTACTCAGATGTGGCTATTTGACATTCATTCTGGGATTTATTAGAAACAGGCATGACTTAACGGCAGTTTATCAGATATATTTACCATAAATAACCAACTTTACAGCATCATAATGACCAAATATTATTGAGTTATAGTCATGTATAACACTAATGCAATAATATCCTATAAATGTATGCTAAAGTAGTAAATTTCACTTCTTTTCATTAGCTAACCTTGGAGGAGTTGAACAGAGAAAAACTATATTTTATAGGATTTATTAGGAAGAACCAAGATAAACGTGCAATTATAGTTGGTATATTGATATCATAAAATATTCACAAGTTTATTCGCAATAATGGTCAGGAAAATATAATGTTTTCCTATAATTCTAAGTTAATGAATTACCTGTGATGTCTTTCCTCTGTGGTGTTTCTCAACATCCATGAGGGTGAGAGAGTGTGTGGAGGCACAAAGCCTGGACACACTTTTCCTCCGCTGCACACACTTCTTTTAGGGACAGAGAACAAACAGGAGTAGGTACAATAGCTTAGGGCACAGGTTAATATTTATTCCGACTATTTGTGTATTTTGCATTGTGGATTCTTAAAATAATTAATTACATTTGAGGTACTTGTACTTTACTTGAGTATTTCCATTTAATGCCATATATATATATTATACTTATTCTCTGCTACATTTAAAAGGGAAATAATGTAATTTTACTCCACTACATTTATTAAACAGCTTTAGCCATAGATCTGTAAAAATTAAACTAGTGGAGGAACTCTTTAAGTCACAAAAGAGTCTATTTTTGTAAACATATTTGACAAAAAGTAAATCAGAACTTTGCTTGTCTTCAACAGTAAAATGTTTATTGATGCAACAATTTAAACTATAAATGTCACATCTATAAATGTAATTATAAAACACACATAAAGGCAATTTTTCTGCACATTGATTACTTTTACTGGTTATACTTTAAGTACATTTAGCTGATAATATTTTCGTACTTTTACTAAAGTAAGATTTTGAATGCAGGACTTTTACTTGTAATTAAGTATTTTGACCATAATGATTTGTTAGCATAAACAATATGATGCAATATGTCATTCATTCAACTATTTTATGAAATACTCCAATATGATGCAGTAAAATGCTACTTACAGATTAATTCGACAAATGCACCATTTTAGTAACATTTTGGATAGAGGATATGTTATATTTTTACAGTGTTATTCCTACTATTAATGCCACTTCATAATAACTATTACCTCAGTTGCTACTAAAAAATATTGAACCCAGTAGGCTGGAAATAAAAGTATGAAAGTTATAATTTACCATGTTAAATATGATGTCAACGCCGACAATGCACACGCTCATTTTTCTCACATTCTGTCTATTCAAACCATAGACTGTATAAAGACTCAAACACATACATCGAAACATATGTATCAGTATAGCATGCATTTAACGCAAGACAAGTGGTAAGCTAACTGCATACAAAATAAAACTATGCCAAAGGTCGTAAGGACCCCTGACTTCACTGTAAGTTGAGAAATAAATGTGTTTTTTTAAATTGGTAAATGTAGAGTCTTACCTTACTATGCAGCGGTACATGTCAGTCTGCCTGCTGCAATACAGCAAATTATGCTCTTTAATAGCTAAACATTCAACCAAAACAGAGCTCGACGTCTCCTCTTCCTCCGTATTGTGCTGTTGTTGCGTGAACCAGGAGAAGTCAGGTTCTATCTATCTATCTATCTATCTATCTATCTATCTATCTATCTATCTATCTCTATCTGTCTGTCTGTCTGTCTGTCTGTCTGTCTATCTCTCTATCTCTCTATCTGTCCATCCACAGCTCTGAAAAATTAAGAGGCCCCTGCAGCATTATCAGTTTATCTGGTTTTATTTTTTATAATAATAATAATAATAATACACTTTATTTGTATAGCACCTTTCATGCACAAAGCAGCCCAAAGTGCTTTACAGAAAAGACAACAACAATATTAAAATAATGTTAAAATTAAAACAGAACAAGTGCAATATGTTTAAAAAAAGAAAGAAAGAAAAAGGAAATCAAAAATGTAAAATAAAAGCAAAATAGAAACAATTACAATAAAACATGGAGAATGATACTGGTGAAAATTTAAAGTTAACCCAAATTAAAAGCTATATTAAAAACATAGGTTTTTAATGAGCTTTTAAACATTTCAAGGATGTTTGCTGTTCTAAGATCCACGGGGAGGCTGTTCCATAGTCTAGGGCCGTAAAAACAACGCAGCCTCCCCAGATCTCTTGAGTGATACCCTTGGAATTTCCAAAAGCAGGGCACTGGGGGATCTAAGGGTTCTTGTTGGAACATAAAAAGAAAACAATTAAAAAAGAAACAGTATAGGTATGTGTTTGAGTAAAATGAAAACCAAATATTTTATAAACTACTGACAACATTTATTTGTGTTGGAATTCAACAGACACTGGAAAGGAATGGCTTCCACGTATGTAGAGATTGAGATTTAATAAAAAATTTGGAGGGGTCTCTTCATTTTTTCTATAATCCCTTTCACTACAGATGTAGTCACACATATAGGCCGCTAGAGGGAACTGTATAATCATTCATTCAAGCCTAGCGTTTCTTTTAAAAAGTAAACATATATTTGCGTATTCTAAAGAAACATTTACAAAATACCACCATCATAACACACAAACTGCTACACAACACAGTAAAAATATTGCAGGGAAAGCTAACTTCTATAGTAATAAGCTACAGCTAATAGAGTCACTTAGTCACTCACTTCATTAATTATATCTGATGGTCACTCCCTAAAATAAAGCATCTATTCACAAAGTGAGTGCTTTTTTCACAACAGTTTTTATGGGACACCACAACTTTATTGCATGTCTGCAAAAGGAAATAAGTCAGCCAAAAGATTTAATTAAGGCTTCCAAACCTAGTTTTTTGTTGGAAAAGTTAAATAGGAAAAGTCAATAATGTGTAATGGCCTAATACGTCATAGAAAAATGATATGTATAAAGTAAATGTATGTGTGAAGCAATGTGTAACATTAATTGCGAACAGAAATTCCAAATGTGGTCTTTCATTTAAACTCATCAAATGAATTTATGCCAAAAGACAATTCCAAACCAAAGCAACAATTAGATAGGTCTATACATTAAATAACTACATTTTCGCAGAGAATAAACTCATTGAAAAAAGCCATGTGCAAGCTGTATCCATTTCACCTATTTGTTTTTTTGAACACATACCAAAACATGTGTAATTAGCTCGAATGATTTGGAAAAAGTCAATGAATTCAAAATGTATGTTTTTATCAGAGTACTATTTTAGATTAATAGCTATATTTGACTACAGTAACGCAAAAATGACCAGCCCACGTTGATGTAAATCACCTAGATTCAATGACTAAATGTAAAAAAACCGAATAAACAATTACAATGATGAAAAATAACAACTCCTGGAAAATTACTGTATGGCAGACTACAGCTAAAGGTCGAAAAGTACTTGTTGTCAATATTGTAAGATACCATAGAAAGACTAAAGAAACCTAATAAGCATTTTATTCGTATGCCTTGACAGTGGATTTGTATTGATTTGAAATATCTTCTTCACTACATGGAACCAATTGATCAATATTAAATAATGTTGAGTATGCAACACTATGAATCACATACAAATAAATGCTGTGAATTGTTGCACAAGCTCATAGTTTAATCTCTTTTTTATTTATTCATGTTTTTGTTGGTCTTAAACGATATGAATAAACATATTTTTGGGACCACTGTGATCCATGATTCCTGTTTTGTGCAGCCCTGCTGATTCAGGCGGATAGAGCTGCAGCAGAAGGAGGAGGAGAAGGAGGAGTGTGTTTGTGGGCAGACAGTCAGCAGGACCAGAGTCCCAGCGGCAGTTTAGGAGAGTCTGAGCGGGGAATTCAGCGTCCAATACGGGATAACTCAGAAGAGGGATCCGCGATGAGTTGGGGAACGGAACTCTGGGTATGTTTAAACTCTTTAAACTGTGTTTGTGACTAAGTATTTGGCTTGTTTGCGGTGTGTCCTGGTCCGGTCAACACACCGACTGTTGGGAAACCGACTGGAAGAAAGGTGCCGTGTTACCTTTTAGCTTTGTGTGAAAAGGCGAGTGGCTAACATTGACGCTAGCTGGCCGGCTGTGCAGTTAGCCGGCGAGGCTAAAGCTAAAGCTAATCCGCGGTGCACCTTAACGGCTGTGACAGCGGCGGAACAATAGGCTGCAGACACACGGGCACGGCAGCCAGGGCGGGGGTCACGTTGCTTTCTCCGCCTGGTTACTTATAAACTTGAATTATATAAAAACTGCTGAATTTATGTTTTTCTTTTATTGGCTAGTTAGAAAGTTGTATGTTGAGGTTTATTTGAGTGTCACACCCTGTCTCAAGGAGAAGCTGGCAGGGATTCCCGGTAGCAGAATCCCGACACAGACCTCCGTCCTGTTCGGTTTACCTAAAATGAACATTACCTTCAAAGCTACTGGTTTATCTGAAGGGCATCACATGGCCCTTTGTTGCCACTTATCCAATCTTTTGTCTTAACTTCCATGTAATTAGAAGTGGCTCATGAATCAGCCGATACAACTCAGTTCCCAACGTCTACCCTGTATTTCTGGCTTTTATAATTCAGCGTGTAGCCAAATACAAGTTAGTCATATAATCACATTTGTATTACTTAAATCATGAGTTCCTGCTGCTCCTTTCTATATACAGTAGATATCAGAGTATGTGAACATGTCTTTTTCATTTAGTTCCTTGGGCCAAATTAGATTATGATCTGGTTTAATTTTGTGTTACAGCATAGAGATAATTTATGTAATATTTGTTTAAATTAGAGTCATATGACATACTGTGTTTTTTGGGGTGTTGGCCATCACAAGTGTTGCAACCAGAGAGGCAACTAGCAGCATCCTCTCTGTGTGTGTGTGTGTGTGTGTGTGTAGAAAGGGGGGGGTAAATCCCCCTTAGATGATACTCCTCCAGCTGACCTCAGTGGTTACTATCTTCAGTTTAATATAAGCAATTTTTTTGCTTGCTCAGCCCTCAAATGTAACATGACCATGCTGCTACAGACAAATAGATAACTGTTTGCTTGTCTGTGATTGCATACACAATACAAATGTGATTTGTCAGTATTTCAGTTTTTTGTTGTTGTTATCTTCCATTCATGTTATCCATCGCTTTTTTAATCTCTTTTTTCTGGGATTTTTTAGACTGTTTCGAAAGGCGTAATGTAGTTTCAGCCAATGTGTTTGTCTGAAAAATATTAACTTATAGTTTTCTGTTTCTAGGCCAATTGATTTAGTTCATGAAAACGTATCAGTAGCAATAATCGTATAACAAGAAACGGGTCCTCATAAAATGTCCAAAAATGTCAATCACAAGCATTTAACCAATCATATTTTCAGATGTCAATATTTTGTTTATTTACCAAAGCTCTATATCACATACAATTATTTAAACTAAGCTCTAAGAGAACACTCCCAGTGTGAATCAATATGACAAGAAAAACAACCATATAGTTTTAGTAAAGCTTTAGTAAAAGTTTCTACATTTTAAAGTTAAAAATGATGTTCACTTAATCTCTGCATCTTTTCATCAGTGCTGCAGCAAGGCTAATCATGATCTGTTGAGTGGGGGAACGCCTGCTGACGGGTCGTCATAATCCCCCCCAATCCAATGATGAGATGAATGTGTTGGTTGCCTGATGTCAGATTACACATGATTGGCTGCCTGATGTCAGATTACGGATTATTGTCCACACAGTGGGGTGTTAAACTACTGTGTTTAACAGATGACTGACTATCTAATGTCAGATGTTATACAATATTGTCTGTCTAATTAAGTAGTAGGTGCTTGGCTGTCTGATTTCAAATGAAACCTGATTGGCTGTCCAATAGAATATATTACAGTCTTTGGCCAAATATTGATTGATTGATTGATCAAATCAATCAATTAATCACATTTTTATAAACTGTGGAAGTTGTCTGCGCCATCTTGAGTAGTGTCCCATGGCGCTTATTTCTGCCGGAGGATCGAGGAGTGATAATGGAGGAGCGATGATCGAGGAACCACCAGACCATCCTCCGGTGAAATCCTCAGGCACTCGCACCGCCCCCTTACTGTGTATCGCTCACTGATTGGACGATGCAGTGCATGCACTGATCTGATGCTTCTTGACATGAGAGCAGTTTCCCAGCGGAGTACATGAAACTCACGAGAGTCACTCCTCAGTTTATACCATGTTTTGTTTCAATTAATGTATAATTTAGTTACAAATATGTGATATATCTGAACAACAAAGTGGTCAAAAATCATTTTATTCATTTATTGGAAACATTTTCATGATCGCTTTTTTCGTTTATTCATTTTAAGAATGGCGTTTATCTTTTTTGAGAATGAGTTCTTATTTTATTTTATTTATTTACACACACACACACACACACACACACACACAAACA